ACCCGGAAAAAACCTACACATGCACGGAGAGAACATGCAAACTTCGCCCTGAAAGATCCCCAGGCCAGGATTTGATCGGACGACCGTCTCGCTGAGAGGCAACAGCTCTACCATCTGAGCCACCGTGCCACCTCTCAGCACATGAATTTAGTTTAAACTGTGATATGAAAGGCAGTGAGCGATGTGCATTTGGGCCTTCCATCTGTTTGTTCTGTTAAAAGCGGAGATTGAATTCTCAGTGTTTGCTTACATTTGTGTTTCCAACAATATATTCTCTAAGCCTTTGCTAGTATTTAAGAAACAAAAAAATTAATTACCAATTTTCCAGATCTATTCTATGAAATTTGTAATTTTATATTTTTGTTAAGCAACAAATTTTCAAACTAGGCCTTTGTGTTTTAATGACATTGTAAATCTGTAGACAAATTTAGGTTTGCGGTTATTTGTAGAAATTATAAGCAGTGAAATTCAATGATAACTTAGACAACTTTACCTCTCCTGTGACATTACAAAAAAACTTTAACGCAACAATCAGAATAGCTTCTTGAGCGTCCAGAGTGTGATGGATATGCACAGTACCTCAACTGCAAATACATCTATAATTGCAAAGAGGGAAGAGTAATGTGGGCAAATATTTAGTAGATAAATATAAAATTTCAAGGGTGGACTGCTAAAGGTGTCTTCCAGAAAATATATATTTGAATTTTACATCACTAACACATTTTCTGTGGTTTTCTATGGACATATCAAGACGATCAGTATTTAATTTTAACATCTTGAGGAGTTTCCATCTCTTATCTAAAGTGTTCTGTCAGTTCAGCACTGGAGTTTGTGTTAGTTGTACAGAGGATTTCAAATCTCTGTTGCCCCCCAGTGTCTGCTCAACTTAATCACAGCTCAGTTTGAATATGTACTGTTCAACACAGGCCAGGTCATTTCACATACAGGTAAATGCACTGCAATATTGGAAACAATAAAAAGAAAGTTCTTCAAAGTTAAATGCACATAGAACAAAAATATCCTATACAAATTCAAAGTTATAGAGCAAAAACATTAATTATAAAGATGTGTCATTTAGCTGACAGCATTAAGGAGGACACAGTTACAGAAACAGAACAAAAGGATTCAAGGTTCTTTAACTGTCGTATACACCACATGTGGCACATGTGGTGGAACGAAATTGTGGACTCGGGGTCCCAGTTACATCCAACAAAAGTATTAAAATGTCAAACAAAAACTGTAGTAAGATCTAAGATATTAACTAAGAAAAATGTTAACAAAAAATATACTAAGCACTAGTGGCATAAAAAAAAAACCAAACAGCAGCACGAACATGAGTCTGTGTGAGCAGATGAGCACGAATGAACACAGTAGATATTCATGAGTCTTAACATCCTCAGGGTAGAAGCTGTTCCTCAGTCTAGTAGTTCTACACTTAATGCTCTGCAACCTCCTGCCTGAGGGGAGTGGGGAAAAAGTGTGTGTGCTGGGTGAGTGAGGTCCTTCATGATACAGGTGGCTCTCTTCCTGCATCTGGAGGTGTAGATATACCATACCATATTATTTATAAAGCACTTAAAACAGCGACAAGGCCAACCAAAGTGCTGTACATACAGAAAAACAGACAACACACAAAGCAATATACAAAATGAGGTAAATCAGAATATAGACATAAAAACATTGCCGATAATAAATATAACAACTAACCAGTGTGGAGCGTACAGGTTCAAAACACAGATCATCTGGTGTTGAAAGCTACTGAATAGTAGTGGGTTTTTTAATGGGACTTGAAAACCGAGAGGGAGGGGGCCTGTCTGACAAGCAGAGGCAACTCGTTCCAAAGTCTTGGTCCTGCTACAGAGAAGGCCCTGTCACCACTGTGCTTAAGACGAGTTCCTAGAACTGTGAGGAGCAACTGGTCCGCTGACCTCAGGGAACGTGGTGGGACATACGGCTGTAGCAGAACAGAGAGATGGGGGGCGAAACTGTTCAGTGATTTGTAGACATACAGGAGTATTTTGAACTGGATTCGAAGGTGAACCGGTAACCAGTGCAGTGAGGCCAAAACTGGTGTAATGTGCTCTCTTTTGCCTGTACTGGTTAAAAATCGGGCTGCTGCATTCTGGACCAGTTGTAGTCATGCAATAGAGGTCTGACTGATACCAAACAGGAGCGAATTGCAGTAATCAAGCCTAGATGTAATGAATGCATGTACAGTGCCTTGCGAAAGTATTTGGCCCCCTTGAACTTTTCAAACTTTTGCCACATTTCAGGCTTCAAACATAAAGATATAAATTTTTTATTTTTTGTGAAGAATCAACAACAACAAGTGGGACACAATCGTGAAGTGAAATGAAATTTATTGGGTGTCAAACTTTTTTAACAAATAAAAAACTAAAAAGTGGGGCGTGCAATATTATTCGGTCCCCTTGCGTTAATACTCTGTAGCGCCGCCTTTTGCTGCAATTACAGCTGCAAGTCTCTTGGGGTATGTCTCTATCAGTTTTGCACATGGAGACACTGAAATTCTTGCCCATTCTTCTTTGCAAAACAGCTCGAGCTCAGTGAGGTTGGATGGAGAGCGTTTGTGAACAGCAGTCCTCAGCTCTTTCCACAGATTCTCGATTGGATTCAGGTCTGGACTTTGACTTGGCCATTCCAACACCTGGATACGTTTATTTGTGAACCATTCCATTGTAGATTTTACTTTATGTTTTGGATCATTGTCTTGTTGGAAGATAAATCTCCATCCCAGTCTCAGGTCTCTTGCAGACTCAAACAGGTTTTCTTCCAGAATGGTCCTGGATTTGGCCCCATCCATCTTCCCATCAATTCTGACCATCTTCCCTGTCCCTGCTGACGAAAAGCAGGCCCAAACCATGATGCTGCCACCACCATGTTTGACAGTGGTGATGGTGTGTTCAGGGTGATGAGCTGTGTTGCTTTTATGCCAAACATATCGTTTTGCATTGTGGCCAAACAGTTTGATTTTGGTTTCATCTGACCAGAGCACCTTCTTCCACATGTTTGATGTGTCTCCCAGGTGCTTGTGACAAACTTTAAACAACACTTTTTATGGATATCTTTGAGAAATGTCTTTCTTTTTGCCACTCTTCCATAAAGGCCAGATTCGTGCAGTGTACGACTGATTGTTGTCCTATGGACAGACTCTCCCACCTCAGCTGTAGATCTCTGCAGTTCAACCAGAGTGATCATGGGCCTCTTGGCTGCATCTCTGATCAGTCTTCTCAATGTTCGAGATGAAAGTTTAGAGGGACGGCCGGGTCTTGGTAGATTTGCAGTGGTCTGATACTCCTTCCATTTCAATATGATTGCTTGCACTGTGCTCCTTGGGATGTTTAAAGCTTGGGAAATCTTTTTGTATCCAAATCCAGCTTTAAACTTCTCCACAACAGTATCTAGGACCTGCCTGGTGTGTTCCTTGGTCTTCATGATGCTCACTGCACTTTGAACAGAACCCTGAGGCTATCACAGAGCAGGTGCATTTATACAGAGACTTGATTGCACACAGGTGGATTCTATTTATCATCATCAGTCATTTGGGACAACATTGGATCATTCATAGATCCTCACTGAACTTCTGGAGTGAGTTTGCTGCACTGAAAGTAAAGGGGCCGAATAATATTGCACGCCCCACTTTTCAGTTTTTTATTTGTTAAAAAAGTTTGGCACATCCAATAAATTTAATTCCACTTCTTGATTGTGTCCCACTTGTTGTTGATTCTTCACAAAAAATTACAATTTTATATCTTTATGTTTGAAGTCTGAAATGTGGCAAAAGGTCGAAAAGTTCAAGGTGGCCGAATACTTTCGCAAGGCACTGTATATATATATATATATATATATATATATATATATATATATATATATATATATATATATA